ATGTCTTCTTCATGTCTATCATTTTGTCAAAGGTCTAAAGTAGAATCTTGCATCCTAGAGCTCTTCTTTCCTAGATAAACACCATTCCACAAAGTGATTCTTCAAATTCTTGAAAGATTTGATATTCGTTTGCTTCTATCTTGATCTTTTCTAACTGAATCCCAATTTGAATTGTATGGTGATTGGGAAAATATTGAAACTTTTCCCATTCTAGGGTTGTAGAGTAGATTTTGACAAATATTATTCCTTAAGTTTTGGTGCTAGTTTTGAAGTCTTTTCCTCAATATATAACTTCTAGAAGCTCTAAAATTTCTTCACTATTTCTTTGAAAAATAAATACAGTTCACAAACCATAATTGAATGATTTTTGTATTGCTTTTGGGTTTGCACCCTGCATAATATTAAATTTGAGATAGATCCTTTCATAGATAGGATATCAATCCTTAGTAGACTTCATTGAATGTGCCATTGTATAAGCTTTGCAGTATTCCTACAAATATGCTTCAGTCATTGTCATATTTGACAAGGTGTCTATTTTTGTAACCTTTTTTTCTTTATTTCTTGATTGATTAGGTCGAAAGTTATGATTTTTGGCATTTTGAATAGCCAGCTTTTTAACTTGAGATGCTAATATTTCTGGGGAAGAATATTTGACATAATAGGCAAATTTCCCTTATCTTTTCCCAAGTAGTCCTACTGAAGGAACACCTTGTTCATATGTTTCTTTTAGCTCTTATTAGAAGCCTTTCTTTGCCATTTGACTTGATTCCCTAGAGTTGATTTCGACAATCATAATTACTCTAAAATTGATTAATTTTTTTTTGTAAGCTCTTTTACTTCTTCAAGGGCATCTTGTTCCTTATTCAATAACTCATGGCCTTTAATAATTTTTTCTTGGTCTTCATTTATCAAGCTATGGCTTTCATCAATTATCTCTTGGCCTTCAATTATTTTGTCTTGGTCTTCTTTTATTTGGCTATTGCCTTCCATGAGTTTCTACTAACCTTCAAGAATCAAGTCTTTTCCTTCATTTTGGAGTTTTAGGATTTTATCCATTAGCTCCTTCTCTACTCAAGAAATTTACAAAACAATTATTAGTGCCTTTGACATGTTCAATTTCAAAGCCACACTCAGCAAAGAATGTTTGTCATTTATTTAGTCTCTTCTATTTTGGTGTTAAAGGTGATTTATTAAAAATAAATCCTTTAACATAAGTATTGTCAATTCTAATCTTAAAATGTTTTGGTAATAAGAAGAAACTTAACTTTTTAATCCCATTTTTAATGGCCAATAATTCTTTAGAATTAGAATGATATATAGTTTTTACATCCTTGAATGTTCTACTAGCATAACTACAACTTTTCTCTTGAGAATTCCTTAAAGTTGCTCCCTAGTAAAAATCTAATGCATTACATTCTAAAATCAATTCTTCATCATCCTTAGGCAATTGTAATCCAAGAAGGTTTTTACAATACTCCTTTATTCTTTTCACATGATTAGTGTGATAATATCCCACTATTGATTTTCCTTTTTCTTGAGCAATTTTTGCAAAGGATGTCTTTATTGAGTGAAGTTTTGTATAAATTGCTTTGCATAGAGTAGTATTCCCACAAGTCTTTGAATCTACTCTTTAGATTCTAATTTATCTAGGAATAATGAAATTTTTTTGCTTATATGAGGTTGTAATTCTATTTCTATGGAATCTATTGTTAATCAAAATTAATCCAAAGAATTCAATTTTGATTTTTCTAATTTCTGTTTTCTTTTCAAAGTAATATTCCATGTTTCTTTCAAAAATATGCAAATTTCTTAAGATGATATAAATGTTCCTTTTTATCATCAAAGAAGATTAGTATATCATCTATATATACTATGCAAAATCTCTTGATAGGTGGAAATACATTATCCATTCTTCTTTGAAATATTTGGGGTGCATTCTTTAATTCAAAGGGCATTATTAGCCATTCATAATGTCCTATAGGAGCACTAAAGGTTGTTAATAGGATACTTTTAAGAGTTAACTTAATATGCCAAAATCCTTATTTACAATCAAATTTTGAATATATCCTCTTTCCTCTAATGCTATTGATTAGAGTTTCTTTTTGTGGTAAAAAAAGTAACCATCAAATTTAGTCTTGCTATTAAGTTGTTTGTAGTTAACGATCATTTTAACTTTTCCTCCTTTTATTTCACTATGATTCCTAACCACAAAGGCAAGGCTACTATGAGGACTTTTAAAAGCTTGTACAATCGTTTAAGTTATTAATTCTTGAATTTGCTTCTCAAACTTTTCCTATGTTCAAGACTATAGCTCATTGGTTTGACTTTAATAATAGTTTTTAGATCTATCAATTCAATAGTGGCTTAAGTTTGATCAACTTCCCACAGTTTTAAAGGATCTTCTTCATAATTACTTCTTAATTCTTTTGAAATGGACTCTAGGGTTAAATCTTCTTGTGTGTTACCATTATTTCAAAATGCTAACACTGGCTTTCTAATTTCTTTTGAGCGAGTTTTTCTATTATCTTCATCACGTTGGTTGTAGAAAATTAATGGTTCTAATGTTCTAGTATACGCATTATAAATTCTAAAGGCGTAGAGCCAATATTCATAAGGTGTATAAAATTTTACATATGATGTAGTTTGAACATACTGCTTGGATTGACATAGAAAATTAGTTTCTAATAGAATATCATTCCCATGCTTGTTGCTTTCATTGTCTCGAGGAATTACAACTTCAGTTCCACCAATCATGGCATTATTTGATATTCAATAATGCTTCCATTTATTGCTACTTCTTTCATTGTTTAGAAAGTTTTCCTTTAATAATTCTTTGGGAATACATTGGTTTTAGCCAAATATATTCCAAATCTTGTATCTATAAAGCATGAAAGAATTTAGTTTTGTCTTCTTCATACTTTATTCCACTGGATATATAGACATTACAAATACTAGTTTTCATAGTATCTTGGTATAACCTTTATTTTTCACTTAAGGTAATCTGCAGACAATGTTCTTGGATATTATAAGGTTGTATTGATTTTAAGAATGTGTTTCCTAACATTAGTTCTATATTTGCAATCATTTTTGTCTCAGCATGAGTTGTTATAGTAATCTCATTTTGTATCTTATTCTTATCCTCTATTCTAAAAGGCACCTTAGCATATTTACTTATTATGGTTATTGCACCATTAAAGTTGTAGTATGTGTATAGCTTGGTAAGTTCAAATCTTTGTATGTGTGGGATCATATCACTATATATGGATACATGTTACTCTCACTCCTGTATCTATTAGGATAAAAATGTTATGTTATTCCTTTCCATCATAATAATCTCTTTTTATTTTGAAGTGTCTAGAGGGAATTTTTATGGTGCCTAACACCACCTCATGTCTTATACTAGTTACTATGGTTAAGACTTTTTACTTTTCTTAGGGTAGCTCAAAGCTCCTAAATCTATATTATTTCTATGCCTTGGTTCAGGTTTATGTTCCATTATGACCAATAGTTTTCCTGACTCATGCCATAAGTCTAGGTTTATCTCTTTCTCCTATTAAGAACGGTTTTTCACTAATATCTATTTCTCATTCTTTAGGTAATTCTATTTTAGTGATCAATTTTGGTTTTTAAATTTGTCATATGTAAGAGAATATAGGATCTACTTCAATATATCCTTTATTTTTGAAAAGATTATATTGATGACTATTGGCCAATGGATAACTTATCATATGGTAAATGCTATATGGTATTGATCCATCTTTCATAAATCTTTTTTAGTAAATTCATGTGCTAGGCTTAGTGTTTTATTGATATTTCTATCATTAATATTCACAACATATTTTGGATATACAATGAACAAAAGCTTTTGGTAACTAAGATTACCTTGTAGCAATCCAAGGATAGTATCCTTTCTATCATTGATTCTATTATCAATTAAAACTAATTTTCTATCCTTGATTCTATTATCAATTAAAACTAATTTTATTGGGATGTCAATTCCTTCCCTAAAATGAGCTTTCATAAGGATATGAATTCCTCTATTATGGATAAATCCTATCTTTAATCTATTAGCATCTTTAATCTTTAATAGTTTACTTTCTACTTTTGCCTTGATAAATAGAGATATATTTACTATTCCTATTATATTCCTTATAGGAATGTTATATTTTTTAGTGGATATTTTATAATAAACTATATCTTTTCTTTTAAAATGATTACTTATAAAAAAATTCGACTTGAATCCTTTTTATAAGACAAGGTCTCTTTCCTTTTGTCTAATTCTTTTCTATTTACTTCTATCA